AGTCACCTGAAATGACAGCTGTCTGAGGGGGGAGAGCAGACTTAAAAGGTTTGGCAGAGCGCTATGATAGGCTCTTGGGAATAGAGCGAAGTGATTGGTTAAGCTGGAGAGTGACGCCCCAGATCACTTATTGAGAGGAGAGATAGTAGTTACATGGGAATAGTAAATGAAGAGTAAAGACGGTCTTCCTGGTTGAACTTACGGTGAGCTTAATTTTTAAAAAGGAAAACAAAAGTTGAAGAAGAAACTACTCAATTTTTTTAAAGCAAACAGAATTGGGTTTGGCCTGACTACGCCTGAACTACACACTTTAAATACATTAAAGTCTTCCCCAATTAAAATCCAAACAAGTTTTGTTTCTTACACAAATAGAACACAACTACCATAATTTACGGCAATTACATTCTGGCCACATTTCAAAATCTCTGAAACATGATTAGTTATGTGAACACGTCAAACATAAAAAAAAGCATTGTACAATAGTGCAGAAGCTGCAAAACAACTGATTGCTAGGGTCTGTTGAACGGCTGTCTAGTTGCACTGAATTAAACTCTTTAGCATGCTGGGAAAATGAATGAGAAGAATACAACTCTGACTTTGTAGGAGACAGGTTTATCCAATTTGTCCATGCTACGGTAGATACAAAGGATCGCAAAGTGCCTTAGTCTGCAGTTTGAAGTGCCTGCTCCAAAACGAATGTGTCGGCGAACAAATCTTTCCATTTGTCAGGAAACCATGCAGGAGGATGCTCAGTAAATACTTCAAACAAGCAGATGCGAGAGACGGTCCATAAAGTGTCATTCCCAGCCATGGCTGCCTCCCTGCTTCCCTCCTGCAGTCACATATTAATCATCCCCTCTTTGAAAGTGACATGAACCAGAGGGAGCGCCCTTCAGACGGCCACAGAGCCAGCACTGACATAATGAAGGAAACAGAATCAGAGGCACTGCTCAGCATCCAGCAGCTTGATTTAAGGGAATTGCATTGCTCCAGATGTCTCCGATACGGTGAGGGTGACATGTCACTGTCCTGTGATTATTACTGTTCGGATGGAGACAGCTCAGTGTCCCTGGTCATTGAGCCATCACTTATAAAAACTATTAATTTCTTCCTCTTGGTGCTTGAATTATTAATTAACATCAGGACAGAAGCAATGTGTCCATCTTAAATAATGGGAAGATGAAAATGAAACACCTGGATTTTATCCAGTTCTATGCATTTATGGGATACAGTTTCCCCCAGGGGGTTAACGATAAGGCAGCAAGGACACAAGCAACTCGATCATGCTGGAAAGATGGCTAGAACTCGTCATCAGAGGTAATCAGCATGATTTTGTCTGACTTGCGGGTGCTCTTGTTGCCTGCGGCCACTTTTCCATTGGCGCTGGGCTGGACCACCTCCTGCGTGGACTGCTGGGTGTACTGCTGGTAGGCTGGGGAGAAGTTGTGGATCGCGTCCTGCACCATGTCTCCTGGGTTCATGGTCTCCTTCAGACCGCTGGAGATGCTGTGCATGGGTGGGTGGTTTTCTGCTATTGGATCAAGGACATAGGGAGATAAATGATTAGACAATAATGAACTCGTAAAAGCAGTAATTTGAGGGTGACTTCCTGGAGTCTCTTCTAGTTGTGTTGGAATTGCTTCCAGCCAAGAAATCGACTAGCATTTTAAAACACATTGTAAAGAATAAGGGAAGTTATGGATCTATGGTAGTCTTGCTAACGCAGGTGAAAAGAGAATTACTAATTTCGAACTCGGCAGTGGAGACAATTCCATTCAAATGAATTAATCTGAATACAAATAACAGGGTGTGGTGGTGTGATTTCTTGAAGACTAAAAAGCTAGCTATGAAAGAAATGCTGACATTTTGTGGCATCTCAATGGTCTCATTTTATGTGAAAGAGTACATAACCTTTAGTGTTTTGTTCATTCTATAGTCAAAAAAGTTCCCAGGGTGTAATCTTCATGTTGCTCTTTTAGAATCAACTTACTATTCATATACAACTGAGATGCAGCAAAAAAGGTTCTATATTTTTGATAGGGTTAAATCGCTAATAACATGCTAAATTAATTTGCCTATAAATTATGCCTACCTATTTAATTGGTAGGATAAACCACATCTGTGAAACGTAATAGCAGTATTTTTGTCAATATTGAGAAAAAAGAAAATACAAGAAATAGGCAGAATATATTTCTTTCATCACGGCTTTTCCAAAGGCTTCAGACTAGAAACACATTTCACGGCCACCCTTCCACTGATGGTCCCTTAGCACCCAGCTGCAAGCCAGGTGGAGTTTACCTTACAACTAAAAGGGTTTTCAAGAAAAAAAAAAAAAAATCAAGGCAGAGATCCACAGTCTTCTGTTTCAGGGTCACTGGCAGTGCTGTGTGGATCGGCTTATGGATGTGGCAAAGAGGAGGGTAGGAGGGCGAAGATTGGGTAGGAGGGGAGGGGGCTCTACAAGGCAATTAGAAACGGTCTGCTGAGTCTCTCCTTACTGCAGCACCCTACACAACACTGAGGGAGAGGAATGGCAGACCAGAGGAGTGGCAGTCATACACGTCAACACTGGGTGCACCAGCAGAACTACATTGTTTGGAGACTTAATGATGTGAATCACATAGGAACTGACAGGCTGGTGGAAAAACATACGTTATATTCAGCTGTCAAATACGTAAGAGGAATATTGGGTTTCTTTCCATATTGGAAGGAATAACAGGTATAGGATGAAAAAAAAGACATTTTATTGTATTACCTTCTGCGAGTTAAAAATAAAAAATGGTAATATCAAATGGATACAGTAATGTTTCAATTTTATCACCACCTCCAGCATTTTTGAATTATCAGCAGCTCACGGGAACAGAGGGTTTCCTACAGTATAGCAGAAAAAAAATTGGCAAAACGATTGATATCGCTGCGGAAGGCTTTTCACATGGCTCCCATTTGTCTTTGAGTTGAAAGCAGCTCTGACGTCAAAGAGGTGCTGCTCGCTCGCTGATAGTTACTGTTCTGTATTCCTCTTCATCTACATTGTTTTACTATCAACTGCTGTCTGAGCCACCAGTTACGATGTGTGCAGATGAAAGCGCCCGCCCACTGCCAGCCTGACTGCTGATCAGCGTGTCATTTCATTCAGAAGAAAAAAAGTTTAGAAAGTGTACATATGGACATTGCAGCTTGTGCATGTGTTAAAAAGGCCGATTGAATATGGAATCTAACTTTAAGAGTGTGACTGAACTAAATGGCTGAAAAAGGCACATAGTTAATTGTTGATAACACATACAAGTCCGGTTGTGTCTTTTCTCTGAGGGGGAGAAGGGACATGTCAACATATATTTTCTTGTTTTTATATTTGTTTGACAACCAGTTACTTTATTGTAGAGACAGAATTGAAAGGTGTTTGGCCTGAAACTTCCCAAATTAAAATCCAAACAGGTTTTCTTTTAAACACAAACACCACAATTTACAGCAATTAAATTCTGGGACTATTTCATAATCTCTGGGGATGACATGAGGAGCTCACCTGGCACTTCATTTTTTTTCTCCTGGTACACGGTGCAGGTGAAGGCATATTTGAGGGCAATGGCAGCAAAGAACATCTCAATGCAGATGATGAAGTTCTGCCATCCTGCTGCCACGGTGCCCGCGCCGACCTCATGTCCATCGATGAAGAGTGCGTTGGGAATGACCCCCCAGCGCTCCAGGATGGCGAGGACCATTCCTACAAAGCAGGAACACTTTCATCAGCAATTTATACTTTTTATGTTCCGGGTTCTGATACCAAAAAAGTAGATGGCTTACCTTGCCAGAATGACAAGAAGATGACAGATTTGATGGTGAGGAACTTCAGCACCGGTTCGAACGGCCTGAGCAGGTCACTTGTTGCGAAAAAGAAGATGAAGAGGGCGTAGAGAGACAGGCTGACGGAGAAGTTGTAGATGATTGTGATATACAGGTATCCTCCATTTATGCTGCAAAGACACAAAGAGTGTTAAAAGACACAATGATACATTTGGTACATTTACAACAAGATGACATTGTTCCATCTGTGATCATATGGAAAGCCTGCTCACAGCAAACCGCCTATGTTTTTTGACAGCGATGATTTATTCATATCTTGAATCCATTTATTACTTTTTTGCTGAAAAGACTGTCAGCCTGCATTTGATGACATTTCCAGCCATATTGGAAGAACAGCTGGAAATGGAGCCTGTTGTGTTCCTTCTTTAAAAGAGTCGATAAAGCCTGTGTGCCCATGTCCTTCTTATTTCAGAATGCATTTGATAAACAGGCAGACTTGTCTTTATTTCAAAGTCAGTCGGCCTTTCTACCTTCTTTGCATTCAAGAGAGCCTCTCTGAGGCCTCAGCTGTGACTATACTAATTACTCCCACCCAGTATAGAGCGCATGGTTGGCTGAGAGCGTATAAGTAAACAATCTGTGAATCATCACGGTCTTGCAACAGACCTTAGAGAAAGACACGGAAAAGAGACACTTCTGCTTGCTAATTGTGCTGTTGAAGTATATTGAGAAATAAGGAGGACGGGTTTAATCATGTCTATCTTTTGGCTCAACAATAAGAGGGTAATGATAGAAAGCTGATTGGAGATGTCTGTGTCGAGCCCTTGTTGAACTCTCTGCTTTTTCTGAGTACTTTCAAAATGGTTGTCACAGCTGAATCTTTAGAATGAAACAGCGCTGAGAGGCAGAGAATAGCACCTGAAATAAGTCTGAATAATGAAATAATGGGCTGCAGATTTGAAAGCTTTTGATTGCACACTAAAGACACATTTTTTACATGTATTACCCTCTCCACATTCTGTTAAGACCCTTTATTGGCTCATCTGGTGGGACTGGAAATGCTCTAAAATTAAGTTTATCTGCAATTTCCCCCGTCTTTGTATCCCATCCAAAGTATGAGATTAAACAATACATCTCTTATAATACTGTGATCCACTGAGTGCAGCACAACATCAGAATTAAGGGTCTTCATTCCAGGACACTTATTACATTTGGGGAAAACTTATGAAGAAGTATACATTCTTTAGTTCAAAATACATTTAGAAAAACTTGAATTATTGGCAATACCAACAATTCCCAAATGCTTTTGATAAGGATTAGGAGGGGACACAGCTGGGAAGACATGCAGTAAAGTATCTGCACACTCTCACTGACAGGACAGTTAAAACCCTGCTGCACTTACCGTATGAAATGAAACCATTTTGTCTTAACATCTTCACCTACTGTGACGCCGTGCAATAATGATCTCCGTTTGCAAACCATTTCCATGTGCACATGAATGGTATACAAGCCTGCTGGCAAGTACATGGTATGTGTAAGGTACATAAAGAATGAAATGGAAAGAGAGGCGCTTGCTTACTTAAAATCTCCATCGTGGTATTTGCCATAAGCCTGCAGAACGATGGTGATGACGGCCATGATGGGTTTGACAACGCAGAACTGGAGAGTCGCCTGGAGAACACATTAGAATCAGAGTGAGAACCAAAACAAACAAGGATGCCAGGAAAGTGTAAGAGGATGAGGAGGGATGTCAGAATCTTTTTTTACATTGAATTAGCTGTAAAACTCAGACAACAAGCATAGCTCATAGATATATATTGCTTCTTTAATGCATATAAAAACAAAGTGTAAAGACTTCAATTTGGTGTTTCACAGTTTCTTGGCCGGGAAAAATCTTGTGCATAACTCTTCATAAAAGAGCAAATTAGGTTTTTAAGCTTTGGTTTTTAGTGCAGGATAAACCAACAAAAATATAGCAGGTGATAATTGATCTTTAGAGGAGCTGGAAGATGGATTCTGGACAGAGCGTGGCTTGTCATTTCTCCCCAGTTTCCTTTCCTGTCTTTGTGCTAAACTAAGCTACTTAAATAAGCTAAGCTAACTGTCTGCTGGCAGTAGCCTTACATTCAACGGGGAGACAATAAGTGGTATCAATAATCCAAACAACAAAGCAAATTGGCATATAACTGATGACATAATAAATGAAGACATAAATTACCTTTGAAAAATAGTAAATACAAAAATACAATGCATGCTTTGTTAGACTTGTTTTTCATTCAGGTCCAGAAAGCAAACCCTCTGACACTGATGTCTTCATGCTGATAGCGACTGGCTGGAGAATGCAGTGCAGGTGTAGACCTGCATACAATATAAGACTGGAGGACAGGTGTCCTCTTTGTTGTGTATTGAAGCCTGAACCAACCAATTTGACAGAGGCTGCTCTAAACTCCCATCAGTGCTGCAGCACTTGAAAGCAACAAGCCACCAGTGTTCAACTTGATAAGCCAGGGGGGGCTTTTTAGAAGGGCCAGAGTGGGTGGTGGGCTTGACAGGATGACATCAATAATCATTTAGATTACTGATTTGCTTTGAGAATATTCAGAATGACAGTGTGGCACTAGAACATAGGGAAAGCAAACACTGTCGGCACTAAAAGCTTCAAAGCCAATCATTTAGCATACCTCCTGCCATGCTTGATATTCAGAATACAACACACATTAATAATGCTAGTGCCATGGTCAGATGATTCGTTTTAGAAACTAGCACCCATGCATAAAGATTATACATGATACACTTTAATACAGAGCTACATGTGTGTGTTAGTGTTAAATGTAAGATAAGAGCACATGTTAAAACATTCTACATACGTGGATACCATTTATATTACAAACTGATACATCAAAGGGCTATGTGAATTTAGGAAACCGTGCCCATCTGTTATACTCACTACATTTGACATGTTTCTGTAAGCAACCTGCCTGTGTTTTCTATTACATTACTTGATAGCGTCTTGTGGAGATGTCACAGCTTGAAACGACCCCGAAGCATTTTCTTTCAGCAATAATTTTTTTATCACAACAGTTCCCTGCAATAGTTCACGGATGGCAGCTATCGAAGGAACTCGTTTTTAAATTTCTCCTGAGTCCCATTTCACAGAAGCACCTCTCTACCTCGTGTATTTCAATACAGATGCTCCATTCGTTCCTTGATAATTTTAATTACCAAATCGATGTATCGGACTATAAAGCCATTGTTTTATTGTCATGTTGTCTCACCCTTTTCTCCAGGCATCTGTGGTGCTGTATTCTCTTGGATATTTAATTTGTTCAAGGCAACTCTCAGAGGCTTTTCTGATAAAACCTCTGCCTGACACTAGGGCTGCATAACTAATCAAATATGAATTGCAATCATGATTTAGGTCAGTTAAATGAACGTGAGTGACTGCAATGGTTTCCTTTGTTGGCAACTGTCACAACACCTAATTTCCCCCGGGGATTATTATAGTATTTTGGGTCGGGTGATTGAATATTGACGTTTAAAATACGTGCTAAATTAGTAATATTGAACAGAAAGCAGATGGGCAAAACTAAATATTGACTACATTTAGAAGAAGAGGAACTTTTTTTTTGTATCAACTGCTTGTGTTTTTTGCTGCTGTTCTTCCGTTTAAGGAGAAAAAAAACCAACTAACTTTAATACAAACACCACGGCTTAGTGATTACATTTGGGCAGGGAAAGTTTGTAGGAAAAAGACATGTATCAAGGATGTTGTGCTTGCGTAAAGCCATGAGTTGAACAGCATTGACATTTGCCAGATAAAAGTCTATTATTTTTTTTACCACTCTTTCCCATTGTACTTTAACAGCTTAACAGATGCCTAGGGTCCAAATAGTTCAATTTTTGCCAGTTTCAGCTAAATAAGACCCTGAAGTGTCCTACAATATGATAATGGACTCAAACTGAAGGAAAAAAAACAGTTTGGGATGCAAGAGCAGCTTATCCTCTAACCTTATCTCCAAGAACCACAATTACTCTAGGCAGCTTTTCCATATCAGTGATTAATTTGTCACCCGCCTTTAAATCACACTCTAAAGCGTCTCCAAGTTGTGCAAAGAATTTCAATGTTTACCCCCACCTCCCCCAAAATGGATCAAAGCCTTTAAAGAATTGTGCTCTGTGAGGGCGCCATGTGAAAGTTTTAGTTTTTGAATTTGAGGTTTTAACTCAAAGACAACCACAAGATGTGTTTCCCAAGTGTATGATCAATACAACTGATCGAGAAGTCCAGTAAAGAATATATTAGAATGTCCCATAGCAGTTTCATTACTTTGAATCCAGTGAGTCAGTTGCTCCGAGGGAGTTGACCTGCTTAACAGAGTTTAATATTTTCTGAAATGTTCAATATATTGATTTCTGACATTTTCGTTCATGAATGTTAATGAGGTTGACTCATTTTGAAGGATCGGAATAAATTATTGCTAAGACCTTGAGTCTAACACTTTCATTGCACCAACACCCAATGAATGGACTCTGATGATCTTTAATTGTTTTTAAGAGTTTCATCACAGCCCCTGCAGTCAACATGTCCTTGGGCAAGAACTTAAAGGGGCCCTATGATGCTCATTTTCAGCTTCATATTTGTGTTTTGGGCCTCCACTCTGACATGTTTACATTCATGTTCAAAAAGCTCTTTATTTTTCTCATACTGCAGCACCTCTTTTCACCCTCTGTCTGAAACCAGAGCCCAGTCTATACTCTGGTTAGCTTGCCAGCTCTGTTATGATTGGTCAATAGCTTAGAGATATCCTCCCCCTACCCCATCACGTACAATATTGGAGCGCTAACCAATAGAAGCACAAGTGTTATGTAGTGATGTCACTGTCGCATAAGTAAACAAAAGTCCAATGGATGCATTCAGGCAGTGTGTGGGACAGAAATTCCCTCTGGAGGGAACTTTGGGATTTTAGCCTTTACAGCCCATGTACATGCACGCAAACCAATATAACACACAACAGGAAAGGGAAAACCTCACAAAGCATAATAGGGCCCCTTTAACCCCAAGTTGCCTTCGATTGGACGGCCAACAGTGTGTAAATGTGTGTGAATGTTTACTTCCTTGAGCAGGTGGCACATTAGATGGCAGCCTCTGCCTCTTTATGATGGGTGTTAATGGGTAAATGCTGACTTGTATAGAGCGTATAAAAGTGCTTTGAGGGGTCATAAAGACTGAAGAAACGCTATAGAAATGCAGTCCATTTACCATTCAGATGTCACCATCTTGCATGCTTTAGTTGCAAAACACTTCACGTAGGATTACTGTGAAAGCCCATTGAGTGTTTATCAATTTCTGCATAATAAAAAATCCTCCCTATCATCATGTGTTTTGTTTTCAAGACATAACTCATAGTTTCAGTTTGATCAGCATTAGACTGAGAGCCTGTGCAGCATCCCAAGACACTGAGAGAGCTGTGCTGACAGCTCATATCGTCTTTTGCCGTTTATTATCAAACTGTGGTCAATTGCTTTTGTTTCCTTTTTCTTTTTTACACCAGTTGACGTTATCCTCTGAAAAGCTCACAGCCAATTATATCAGCTGTCATTTCAAGGTAGTCAGGAGATCTGGGCAGAGTAGTTTTCTTCTTTCAGTGTTTGCAAACAATTTCTGTGGTTTTAGGAACACCTCTATAGATAAGGTGAAGATGAAATCTCACCTGTTTGCAGAATCTCAAAAAGCCGATTGAGTAGCTTATTCCACCGAGGCAGCAGGTACCATACAGACAACTGGACCTGGGAACACAACAGCAAACAATTAGCTATTTAGTGAGGAAAACACAAACACCATATACTTAGCATGTGATAAAAGAAAGAAGTTTAACTAGAGTGTAGGAATAAATACAAAAGCCATACAATAAACAACAGCTGGTTAAATGTTCAGGTTTTCTTTTACATTAGAGCTTATAACCAATGATTGACAAGTCAATCAATCAACGATGATTAATCGATGACCATTTTTTCAATCAATGAAACGCCTGAGTCCAAAAAAAGAAAAGACATTTGTTACGTCCAGCTTCTCAACTGTCCTGAGGATTTGTGGTCCTTTTTTGGTTTATTTAACTGCTAACTGATTTTTTGACTGTCTGACTGACAACGCAGGACCATTTCAAAATGTCACCTAGGGCTCAGAGGAACTTTGATGGGTAGTTTTTAGTATCAAGAAAATTCATTGGCAGATCAATCAATAATGCAAATTGTTGGTTTCTGCCTTAGTTGACATTACTGCTTAACTGAGATGTATTTTGGCCAACATAAAACAACATAAAATGTATAGCGTAAAACTTTTAAAAACAGTTTTGTAAAATAATTTACCCAACTGAGACTATATTGTTGACGCAAATCTGCCTACCTGTCAAAACCCAAATGGGAGTTATTGGTAGCCTATATTCAAAAAGAATCATGTAAACCTAAGCCGCTAACACCATAATGTTGTTGCACATATAATACATTTGAAAAAATCGATTTATATACAAAATGTATCGCCTTTAAACATCAATTGTCAATAAAATAACACTTGTAGAATAGGTCCGGCAGTAATGTGAGACAGTGGATTTGAAGACTTCATGGTATTAAGGTGTCTTTAGTAAATACACACATTAGTACTGGCCTAATCAACAACAACAAACAGACTGGTCTGACAATACTGAGGATCGGGACACAAAACGATAGATTTGACTTTTACTTGAAGAACCTCTAGTTTCAGTGAGTTTTCAATAGTAATTAAATATTTTTGTGTTTTGTATTATTGCTCTTAGTCAGCAGTTTCGGGTTCAGGTGGCAGTTTTGGGGCCGGGGTGAATAACATAAGTAAACTGGTGAGGAAACTGGCTTTACTGTAGGAGTGAGCCTTGAGGCAGCAGACAGGAAGATTAGGTCTAAACTGAGCCTCGCCCGGGCCACTTCCTGCATGAGCAGCACGTCTACGTTGCAGAACCTGTTATATATATATATTTTTTTATATACACAGCTTAAACCGTCGATAACATTTTCATTTGACAGTATTTTCACATTATACCACAACATTACTATGGTTTACGTGTGTGTGTGTGTGTGTGTGTGTGTGTGTGTGTGTGTGTGTGTGTGTGTGTGTGTGTGTGTGTGTGTGTGTATATATATATATGTAAATCGCACATACATAGCGCAGCATTATTTTCTTTACTTAACACTTGGAGAAGTTGTGAAAAATATAGGCAAACAACTTCTATCTTACTGTGTTAGGGTGAAGGTAAAACATTGCTTGTGTTTAATCAGTCATGAATTATGTCCTTATGAAAAAGGAAGTGGTACACACTTCCTTTTTAAAACACCTTTCGTTTAGTGATTATCTGTAGATGTAATCCATTCGTTTGTCAACAAGGTTTTTATTCTGAAATATTAGCATTACACAGTAATGTGGAAAATGCAGTGACATGCAGAGTTCTATTAATTAATAAGAGTACCGGCTTTTATGTTTGAATGAATTTATATTATTTCCAAATGAACACACACTACTTAACAGGCAAACTATATGTAGAAGTGGCAGCAGAAGCGCGGCTGCAGAGACGCTGGGAACAGAGCGCAGGTCAGCGGAGGCAGTTTGGCCCGGGCGTAATGTCTACGCGTCTTATTATTTCAACTCATCTGTCTTTTTCTTCTTTGTAGATAAGCTACTACTCAAACTAAACAATCAAAGGTATCGTCATCACTTGCAAATGAGAGCATAGATAATCAGTCAAAGTGAATTTGAGAAGCAAATTGCTTGCCTACAGAGCAAATGTTTTTACTGCTCTCAGAACCTGAGGTGTATTATTGAAGCAGTTAAAACTTAAATGCGGTTTATTAATGGGGACATGACATATTAAATTAAATCTAAAACTGCTATACAATTTTAATAAGAACTAGAGAATGCAATTCCTGAAGAAATTGCTAGTGGGAATGCTTTATGCTGAAAATCTGACGCTAAACTGCTATGCTGAAATGTAATGTGTAAGAAGAAAGTGAAGAATTTAGATTGAAATGATACATGAACACTGGGGGCTTGAATGTGTGATGAGAGAAGAAAAGAAAGTAAAAAGGCTTGGAAAAGCAGCAGAATATTTGAACTGCAAACCTCTGAACTAACTTGATGGCGAATGATCTGTCGCCATGGCAACGGCATTTGATGACACCCCATAATACGCTTAGATGCGTTGATGGCTGCATCGTTACCAAACCTGTGAAGTTTTGGGGCGTTTGGAGCAGTTTCATTGAAGTTGTGAGAAAATCGTGTTTCAAGACGAGCATTGTGTTGCCATGGCAACGGCATTTGAAGAAATCTCCAAACTGTCCCGTAGATGTCTTCACGGCTGGACTGTTAGCACAAATGTGACGTTTGAGCACTTTTTAAACATTTTCATGGGAGTTATGGCGAGGGATGCGTTTCCATGGAAACGGCATATGGTGAGATCTCAGATTTGGCGTAGAGCTGTTGAGGCATGGACCGGTGATATACAAGTGAAGATTGGGGGACGATTGGACCGTGTCCATTGGACTTATAGCGACATCATGTTTTATGGCGAGGGATGCGTTTCCATGGAAACGGCATATGGTGAGATCTCAGATTTGGCGTAGAGCTGTTGAGGCATGGACCGGTGATATACAAGTGAAGATTGGGGGACGATTGGACCGTGTCCATTGGACTTACAGCGACATCATGTTTCATGGCGAGTGGTCTGTCGCCATGGCAACGACATTTGATGACATCCCATGCTCTTAGATGTGTTGATGGCTGCATCGTTACCAAACCTCTTCTCTCCCTCTCTTCGGCATATGATGATGACACCCCATAATTGACGTAGAGCTGTTGAGGGCAGGACCATTAACCTGTATCTGAAGTCTGCTGCTCTGAGCATGTCAGTTGGAGTGATGACATCATCGTGTTCCATTGCACAGGTGTTTATAGTTGAGCTAACGAGCTCTGTAGAGATCAAAGGCTTCATTGTTCTGAATGAGAGATAAACCTCTTACATGTGAACGTTTTGTGGAAGAACGATAACAGATATCTGTGAAATTTCAAAACGTGAAGCATGTCAAGGAAGTTGAGTATCTGAAGTGTAATTTTTGTGTAGTTTCGGGTTAATAATGTGGCCTTTTTGGCAGTTTAAGTAAAGGTGTGCGGCTGCTGCTGTGAGGAAATATCTGCCTGAAATTACAATGCGCTTTAATGGAGACATGGCGAACGTTTTTGTCACTTCATGCCCTCAAGAGGCACTTTGTTTAATTATTTTTGCTTAATTATTTGTAATTTTTCAAGCTACGAGATGTTTTCCTACGTTTATCATGATAAATGATGTCTCAAGAATGTAGGGTTTGGGAATTATGGCAGTTTTAAAAAGAAATATGAATGCGAATTTCAAGCTGTCCTCCACTGTAGCTGTGACATCACGCACTCTAGTTAATGTTAAAATGTGAAGAAAACCTCTAAAACAAGGTCTGAACAATGTTTAATATCTCTAAAAGTAAGAATCAGATTTAAAAGTTGTTTTACACGAATAATGTCAGAAAGATGCGTAACATTTTAAAGTTGGAATGAGGTTTCTGAGTGAAAGTATGAATGAACAGTTAGCAGTTGAATTGCATGAAGATTTGTTGAAGTCTGAAGATTTTCTCCATTGACTTCAATGTTAAAAATGTGATGTATTATGGGATGTATCTCTAGAATTATGAAAGTTATGAATGAGAAAAGTAATAGCCATCGATTCCCGACCAAGCTGAACGTTTTGATGTTTGAACGGAGTTTCTGCGATGTTCAATGCGAGAGGAGAAGAGGGCCAAAATACCGGCGGAATAATAAACTTTTCGTCCGTAGAATAACAGTTAGTTGGAATGCTGTTAACAGCATTCCCACTAAATTAGATTAGGCTTAAATGTTCTACTTAAATGGCGTGACCATGTTTGGTTCATGCTAAAGCAACTAGCTTTTAAGCATGGTAACAGTGTATAATCTATGTTATTTTATTAATCTGCCATGGGGCTGATTAAAACCTACTTAACTTTATGAAGCTGCAATATCATCCACAATATTGGATGTTATAGGAAATCCTAAAGGACGTGCAACATGGAGGCAGTAAAGTCTCATACAAGCCGTTGAATTTATGCCTCGTCTCCAGTTGCTGGTGTTGAGCAATGCCACAATTTATCAAGGTCTTACATTAGTGTCTCTACTGTCTTAAGAACCTGGCAAAGAGCAGCTGCCCTGTGGCTGAGTCAGCCATAAAACACAGCCCGTCTAAGGCTGCTCAAAAGCTCTGAGATAAGGGATAAGTGGCACAGATTAACAACGCACTTGTTTATTGCCTGCTCTTTCTCTATGGTGTTCAAACTAAATGCTAATTCAAGGGCAGCAAGATGCACTTTGCACCATTTGTGACTGTAAAAGTGTGGTTAATTCATATTGTGGTTTGACCCAGTCAAGTTGAAGAGGAAGTGATACTTCTGTCAACTTGAAAAACATTTGAAACGTCAAACAAGTGCCACTTTGAAGCAGTACGAGCTTGCATGCCTGAATGGAGAATTGGAATGAGAGCACTCACTGTATGGGCTTCCCTCGGATCTCTGACATGATTGCACTCTCTCCTCCCAGATACTCAAAGGACAGGCTCAGGAAATTGTAAATGACAAAAGCTGTAACAGAAAGAAAAGAGTCTTAAAACCCTGAACCACCCTGGACTGTAGAAGAATTTCTCATCACCTTCAAGTTTAAGCTTATTTGAAAAGGTCAAACCATTTTAGAGGAGAAAACTTCCACATGATGAAAAATAATTAGTCCTACAGTTTGGAACAATAAATGTTTCCGTCCTTACATTAAGAAGCTTCCAAGGGTTCTGTGTCTTGGAAATCCCTTCCTAATCCTTTGTTGCTATTTAAAGAGGGATTAAATGGAGCTAATGCAGATGGTGTCCAGTCAAGAGAAGGTTCATTATGTTATAGCCAGAGCTGCTGGTCCACTCTGCCTGCTTTCTGATGCGCTGCGCTATCAATCAGCCACAAAATTGGCCTGCAAACTGGAAACTAATCTCCTGAATACTGTATTTCCTACTTTTCTCAAATTACTTGTAATACATTTTGCGAGTGATTCACCTTTGCAATTGGTGAAGTGATTTCGTCTGAAAACTAACTTCCAATTCAAATACATGACAGTTGCAATGCAACAAAAAAGGCATATTGAAAAGAACACTTTAGTTGTCTACCTCCAAACACTGAAACCAGTGCACTAAAAAGGATGCTCCTAAAATAACTCCACCAAGTAATTGAACACCTGCGATAATGAAGTCTACCTACATAAGAACAATGACTGCTGTGGAAACTAGTTTGGTCAGTTCCTCGTCTTTCCTGCCATGGCAGATATTTAAAAAAAGACAGAGTTATTGTGATACTAACCTTCGTAGCAGTCTCGAATTGAATCAAAGTAGACATAATATTGGTCGTTGCTGATGAAAAGCAGGCTGAGCCAAGAATCGAAGGAATAAACTGGCACGATAAACAGGATGCGGATAATGTAGCGCTGCTCATTGGGGACACTGTAAGATCGGAGGTGTGTATAGATCTGAAATGAAAAATATACCATATGAAAAACATTAGTAACAAGAAAATGAAAACTTGTGGAATATAGTTATGGATTAAACAACTCATTGTTGATCATGAAGTACGAGATACTTTAAAATAGAGAATAGTGTAAATTGTTGCACCTGTAGCCACCAATGTTTCGCATTGACTCTGAAACAGTTGATGTTTCAAGCACCAGAGAACCCATGGCAAATCAACTATTTACCAGGATGATATTTATAGCCCTGTCCTTGTAAAGATCTGTCTGTATAATAGATAGAGATCACGCAACTCTCATTTTAAAGGGGCCCTACTATGCTAATTTTAAGGTTTCATATTTGTACGTTGTGCCTCCACTGTGACATGTTTACATGCTTTAATGTTCAAAAAGCACCTCTTCCACACTGTCTGATACCAGAGCCCAGT